GAAAAGAATATATTGTGTTCTATATCTCGGGTTGCCAAGATAGGATGAAGGATGAAAAAGAAAATAATATATTTCAAAACTTCAAGTTCCAACAAGTTTGAAAGTGCATTCTTTTTTTTCTGATTAAAATTTACAAAATGCGGAATATTTTAACCAAAATTTAATTTTAACAGTTACACAAATACCTACTGCAGTTGGGGGGGGGGGTTAATTTTTTCATTAATCTTTACAGAGGATGGAAGGCGCAAACAAATTCAAGAAAATTGTAAATTAATTTTATATTATTAAATTTTGAAGCGTTGAAGCTGAAACAAAATCCTGTCCATCTAAAAAAATATTTACTGGCTTCCAAATGAGGACAATGAAAGATAATGAAGGTTTTAACATAAGACATTAAATGAAATCTCATTAAACCATTTTTAATTCAAGATAAGTTATAGAACTGCACTCAAAGGAGATCGAAATTGAATTTTTGCGCAAATCTTGACATTGACATTTTTTTCAAGTCCCAAAGTATGGAGGAAATACCTACTCCATAACAATTTTACTCGAGACGTATCTATCCAGGTTTTACTCGATACCAAGACCATTTTTACCCAAAAATTGGATTTTTCATAATTTCTGTGTTATACTTTAATAATTGAACTGCAGTAAGGTTCAAAAATTGAAGCATATCGAGTGAAAAATACGTATAACAGCACTCTAAGAAATTTTAAATTTACATCTATCAAAAGTTCTTGGAGCACCGGCATCAAATACATACTCCATAACACTTTTACTCGAGACGTATCTATCCAGGTCTACTCGTTACCAAGATCAACCAGGACAAACTCTTCTATTCGAAATGCCACACAGAGGCATTATCTCCACCAGGCTTAACTCTCCGGTTCTAAAGGACACACAGTACAAAATCTCAATCAGGCTTAACTCCCTAGTTCTGAAAGCCGCACAGGCAATTTCTCAACAAGGCTTAACTCCCGGGTTCTAAAGGACACACAGTCCAAATATCAGACTCTATATTCAACCAGGACCGGCTCTAAACTCCACACAGGGACACAAGCATCCAATAATATAGGACTCAAGCTTAGACTCTATATTCAACCAAGACCGGCTCTAAACTCCACACAGGAACACAAGCATCCAATAATATAGGACTCAAGCTTAGACTCTATATTCAACCAGGACCGGCTCTAAACTCCACACAGGGACACAAGCATCCAATAATATAGGACTATATACTCTCAGGCTCACAAGCCGTATCTTGAATTGTATAATTCAACGAGGACCCAAGCTATCTTTTAAGCTATATTCGATTCATTGCTAAATCAACTACCAAAGATCTATACTCGTATGTTTCAACGAGTACCAAAGCTGTCCTCCAAGCATACTTAGGCTTCTGATAACGTAATCAAAAGCAGAGTCTCAATCAACTAACTTTATTCAATAGCTTAGGTTACAAAGTTAACAGGAATCATGTTTACACGCTTTTTGCTACAAGTATACTATTTACTGGACTATTTGTATTGAAATTCCCCTAAAAAATGAAGAGTGAACGATGTTTTTAAACAGCGGTTTAAAGCATCTCATAAATATTTAAGAAAGTTTCGGAACACCACCTGGGAGCTAATATAGGATATACATATTCACAGGATCCTAATGTCCAATCAGAGATAGATTAAAAATGTTAATTATATAGTATAATAGTAATTTCAGAAGTGGTTATTGGATTAAACATATCACTCTGAAATATTAGTCTTGTCTTCTAGCAACTTTGCTAGGATCGGTGTTGCAAAGGTTTATAGTACAATGTACATGCAATTGACAAACTAGTCGTCTCTCTGTCTTATTGTCTGTGTGTCTGTTGTTCTGTTTGTTTGTCAGTATGTAGTCTTAGCTATATATCTGTCTTATTTCTTTGTATATTCATTTAATATCTATTTATCTATCCATTTATATGATCATCTATACAATAAAGGAAAGGATTGAAGTAACAGAAAAAAAGATGAATATTCCATAAAAAAAAACTTTTTAAATGTCTGACGGAAAAAAAACAGAAAGACACAATTCAATTGGGTCATTAGCACCATTAGCAAATCATCGTTAATGCGTCTGACAAAAAATATTTTTACTGTCTATTTAACTTGAAAGTTAAGATTAAGGAAAGTAGTAAGCAAGATCAGCCCGCGTAGAACAAGTGTTCACTATGGGTTATAGGGTACACCCATATATGTCAAGTTTTTAATGACAAGACAGCAGCGGCGCAACACAAAACGTTGGGATGTTCATCTTTTAATCAATCTTGAGTAAAACAAAAAAAAATAGAAAGACTTCGATAACGAACTGGAAACAGGTTTACTGATATATCGTTTTTTCTTTTGTATGCGTGGAATTTTGCCCACAACCTTTAAAGTTAAAAAATATATTCATCCATCTTTCTTTCTTACTGTCTATATATCTATTTATATATCATACTCCCTATTTATCTTTCTATCTATTTCTCCATCTATCTATTTATCTGTAAATCCATGTTTTGTAATAGACGTAATAAATCTAGGAGGATCTGCAGTACTACAACTCCCTAGTTCAACTTAACACAGGATCTTAACTTCTAGAAACTTGCTAGTCGCCATTCTCTCTAGTCTCTAGTCTCTAGTCTCTAGTTTTTTTTCCTCAGACATATTTTCTTTAGGACTTTTTTTCAAGCCCTCACTAAATTAAGTAGAAAGTATTATGGATCTAAATTCAAAATTTGTTTTCAGTGACATTTTCTCTTCAGACATTTTTTATATTTTTTTCCCGAAACTTTTTTACATAGATTCAATACCATTTCTATGTAAGTATGTACTGTACTATGTATGTACTATATAATCTGTAATAAAGGCGGAATCTAACTGTGTAAATCTGCCAAATCTTCTAACCCTGGTTTAATGGAACCCCACAGAGAGACAAATGATTGAAAGAGTTTAGAAGAAATCCACGAATACAGATTATGTACTGTGTGTGCGGTCATTAATCTACAGTTAATCTATCCTTTTATCTTTAATGGGATTGTAGACGTAATTTCAAATGGTCTAACTTTTAAATTTGTGTAGGTCTGCAGAAACCATTTTTTGCGGATTTTTTTACATCTCTTTTATTTGTGAATAGATTTTTTGTTACAATGTTGTTGGTTTCATCTGACAGTTTTCATTCATGTATCTACCCTTCAGCATAAATCCGACCTGCTGCAAGTTATGTTTATAGAAACACCACAATTAAAAGAAAAAACTAATTAAAGACAGCAATATCTCTTTTATCTACAGGGTGTCCCAATAAACATGGGAATTCAGTGACGAATTCGATATCGTCTTTTTGAATAATTCTTTGATTTATTATAGTGATACAGGGTGTCCCACGAAACATGACAATAGCAAGACGACTTGAAAGTCGTCTTTGGTATTTGAATTTATTTGTGACATTTAGTCTTCTATCTACTTTAACATGTATGATTCTTGAAACAATTATCACATAATTCTCCTAGCCCTGGCATTTCCAAAAAGTGGTCTGCGTTTTTTGTGCTTTCAATATTACCGGAGATATAAAGAGTTTGGTTCAGATTTCA